GATTTCCTTACAGACGTCCTTAAAAAGGTAGCTTCTTCAGGGTCTAGGTAAACCCCTAAACCCTAAACCCTAAACCCTAACAACCTCTTGAACTCTGACTCCAGAGGTAAATAACGGGCTTATGCAGTCGATGCGCCGTACATCATGGAGACAAGCTCACGCAAATTGTTTTAGCACAGAACCTGCACAGTTAGCTTTGGTCTTTACAAACTGTGTACTTGCTGGCTTCTGCCGAGAAGGGCACATGCCTTGGAGTGACTTCAGTAGTCCTTTACATTGCTTCAGAATCAGCTCTTTGAGCCATCCGCTGCATCACAAGGGCTTGCATACAAAGACTTGCATACACAGGCGGCCGGAGAAATCTGCAGGTTTATAGGGTTTGGGGTTTAGGGTTTAGGGGTTTAGGGTCTAGGGTTCGGGGCTTCGGGGTTTAGGGTTTAGGGTATAGGGTTTGGGATTTAGGGTGTATGCCGCTGTTTATACTGTGTCAGGGAATCAAACACTGAACCCCTCGATCGTCAGCCGAGCCCTGCGCAGTACTGTTGTAGCATATAGAACATAGACTCCAAAGCAGAAAACAGAACGCATAACACCTGAAGCAATCGGAACCCCGAGAATCCAGCCCCCCTTCCAAAAGAGGCATCCAGAAAAGGACCACAACCCAACAACCCTCAACACTAAACCCTAAAAACCCTGAGCCCTCACCCCTGAACCCTAAAACCCATAAACCCAAACCCCTAAACCCTAAAAACCATAAACCCGAACCCCTAAACCCTAAAAACCATGAACCCTAACCCCTAAACCCGAAAAACCATAAACCCAAACCCCTAAACCCTAAACCCTAACCCCTAAACCCTAAAAACCAATAAACCCTAACCCCTAAACCCTAAAAACCATAAACCCAAACCCCTAAACCCTAAACCCCGCGAGCTGACATGTCTTCACAACCCCCGAGCCCTCTCGCGACGCCCAAATTCAGCCCAGGGTCTGGAAGCAGCAGACACACGGAAATGCACACAGCTCCGCCAATCCTGAAAGGCTGAGAGTAGTTTTTGCTGGCCGTTTAAGGGTTAGGGTTTAGGGTTTAGGGTTTCGGGTTTCGGGTTTAGGGTTGAGGATGGTAGTTCACACCATGAGTCATTTGCCTTCTGAAAATCCGCTGCATGAAGCGCATAGTTGGGTTCCTTGTAGGGTTGCAGTGTGTGCACTGGAACCACAACTAGTCGTTGTGCAAGTGCAGCTTTCCCAGCATCGAAGCTTCATATATTGTAGTTAGAACAGGATAGAACAGGGCATTGTGCGTATATATTCTGAAGTATACTGTAGGACATTTTTTGTAGCAAAGAAGCCTAGAGAACAATCATATTAGTACTTACTCAGGCCTCTGCATCACTACACGCCGCAAGTTTCGTTGTCGAGGGAAGGTCTTCGGAGTGTTTCACAATAGGCACCGCAACTCGTCTCGTCGACACTGTAACCGAGAGGCTCCATATATACGGAATTAGGTCCCAAAAACCATACTTATTATGGCTTTAGGGACCTAATTCCATAATGGTAGTATATATGGAGCCTCTGGGTAACAGGCTTCTGAATAATGTGATGTCGAGGCTACCAGTGGTAGTCGCACATACGAGACAAGTACGGGTGTTCTGTTGCTGAAGGTTGTTGCTGTTATTGCTTCTGGTGCTGTTACTGTTGCCATTGCTGCTACCTGTTGTTGTTGTTGTTGTTGTCGGCGTCGCTGTCGCTCATGCGGCTGCCGCTGCCGCTGCCGCTGCCGCTGCCGCTGCTGCTGCTGCTGCTGCAGCTGCTATAGGTTTTGTGGTTGATGCTGTTTTTGCAGGGGGCTGCTGTCCTTGTTGCTGTTCTCGTTCTTGTTGTCACAGTAATCGTTTTCTCTGTAGTTGAAGAGTGTTGGCATGCACTGTCTGCTGCTACCGTTGTTGTTCGGACTGATATCGTGGTTGCGTCATTGTTATTAACAGTGGTTGTCGTTCATGTTGTCGACGCGTTTGCCATTCTAGTCACACTGACGGGTATCAATTCCGACCAGAATGTGCCTCATAGTTAGGGCCAGTTAGGGACCCACCAAACTGCAAACCCCTGAACCCCTGAAGAGGTCGGATGCAGAATTGAGGTTGTGGGGTGGTGCCGGCCTGTTTAGACTCCTGGCTATGCACATAAGTGCCCAACACCAAATCCCCAAACTGAGCACCCTAAACCCTAAACCCTAAATCCTAAACCCTAAACCCTAAACCCTAAAAAGCTCCGG